TGTGTGTGTGTGTGTGTGTGTGTGTGTGTGAGTGCGTATGTACGTGTGTGTGTGTTTGTGTGTGTGTGTGTTCGCCTGTCCGGGTATTTCAACTGGGCAACCAAGCAAGTTCCAGAGCCGAGATTTTGCTAATGGGTACTCCGGCCAAGTACCACCCCATAACCGCGGTATCATCCCTCATGCACGTCTGGGCCCCGCGTACGAGAGTGGGAAAGTGTTGGCGGGAAAATTGATAACTCGGGAACGAGAAAAGATAGAAGGCTGAAACTTTGAGAATATGTGCCCATACCATGCGTGACCCTCCCATTTCAATATCATCCCCTGCGTACGTCTGGGCGCCGTATACGGGCCCCCTAAAAAAACATGCAAATTTTTTGGCGGGAGAGCGATCTCGGGAACCACACGAGCTAAGGGGCTGAAACATTGTAGGGATATTCCCTGTGCATTTGCTGACTAAAGATTTCAAATTCAGTCCCCAGATATGCGTGGTACCCACGCAAGAGCGTATGAAAGTTTTAGGGGGAAAATTGCTAACTTGGCAACCAGGAAAGGTGGAAGGCTGAGATTTTACGGGATTATTCCCTGTCCAAGTACAACTTAAATATTTCAGATCCAACCCTCATGTATGCGTGGTACTCACGTAAGGGTGTATGGAAGTTGTAGGGGGAAAATTACTAATTCGGACACCAGAAAAGCTGGAAGGTTGAAATTTTCAAGGAATGTTCCCAGCCCATATACTACTTAAAGTTATCAAACTCAGCCACCAGTCATCCGTGGTTCTCACGTATGGCCCCGTGAAATTTTTTGGCGAGAAAGTGGCTAACTCGGGAACCAGGAAGGCTGGAATTTTCAGGGAATGTTCCAAGCACAGGTACGACATAAACCTAGCAAATTCAATGCCCAGTCATACGTGGTTCTCATGTACGACCCCGTGAAACTTTTTTGGCGGGTAAATGGCTAACTCGGGAGCCAGAAAAGCTGGGAGGCTGAAATTTTAAAGGGATGTTCTCAGTCTGCAAGCAGCTTAAAAATTCCAAAGCCAGCCCCCAGGCATGCTTCTAGTTCACGTGCGGCCCTGTGAAAGTTTTGGCGAGGAAATTGCTAACTCGAGAACCAGAAAAGTTGGGAGGTCAGATTTTAGGAGAATATCCCCCGCCCAAATAAAGCTTAAATCTTCAAATTCAGTCTTTATTTACGCGTGATTCTTGTGTATGGGCAATTAAATTTTTTGCGGGAAAACTACTCATTGAACAGTTGGCTTATTTTCAAAAAACACCGCTAAACGAAAATAGTTTATTTCTTTTTATGCAAAATTTACGATGATTTTCTGCATTAAGCACACAAGGTAGGTGCAAAGAAACAACCGTTCATGCAGCTAACCTAATTCAAGTTTTGTGCAAAAACGCATGATCGCACCGGCTCGCCTGGTGCGTTTCAGCCCGGGTTTGCATCTATGCAATGGGAAAAAGCATA